TGAACAAAATTTATTCTTAACTGTATTTTACGTTGACTCGTGAAAACGTTCTTTTGTGATATCAATCAGTTAATCAAATATCACAACCGCTTGTTCTTTCGAATCGCGGAGGCAGATCCCTCAGACAGTGATATCAACGTTCCTGATCCTCTGCTAGACACCGACCTTCGGCAGCAGATAACTAGAGTCTCGAGCCGACTCCTTCAATACATTTGCCCTAGGTTAATCTTGGCTGCCCTTGGGGTCTTCCGTCGGTCACTTAGGCATGTACAAGCAGCGACTGTACTGCAAGGCATTTGGGATATCTGTATTCCGGACAATGTCGAGATTTAAGAGCCTCTAGACTAATCTCAGAAAATCCATTGCGCCGCTTGACCCAGTATCGAAGTTTGTCACTCATTGCCTATGACCGTATCTTAGCGTCGGGATGGAGATCGTGAACCCACACAGGTTATTACTCAGGCCTATCGCCGCATTAATCATAACAGTTCAGGTTAGTTCACACAGGACGCCGCTGACCATTTCGATTCTCCGGTCAGTCTCTTCCTCATATTTTTGATCACGAGTAAATACGATTCTGAGGCTTGTGAAAGTCTCCACCTGCTCATTCATTATTCATCGTGGATCGGTCTATTGTCTCCTAGCTATCACTTGAAATTTTCAGATCTTAAACTATTGCCATGAAAAATATTTGGTGTTTTTCCGTGGTTTTATGTTTCATTTTTACTTTTATAACCGTCTTTCAGACAGGTGACCTCTCAGCTGTCTATGAAGCCGTGAAATTCTCATGCAGATTTACGCAGGCTGAAATTGAAGCGCGATGGAATGCACTGTTGTATGACCCACCTATTTCGAAGTATGACTACACTTTCTATCAAAGAGTGTCAATAGCTTTATTTATTTTTATTCATCTTTTAATCTATTTTTGGTTGTTGTTCTTATTCGTTTAGCGCTATGTTATAGACTGATCAGCATAGCCGAGAAGACGCTACACAAACTCTAGTACCATTTTACAGTTTAGTTCTCATGACATAAAAGCTGTTGACTTCTGAATACCAAGTTGTCGCTTACTCGTTTGTATCACTTTGGTTTTGGTGTACTGAAGTTAGCATACCACGAGAAGTCGAGGTGCTTAAGTATGACAGTACATTAGTACGTTGCGTGTGAACCATTACTGACAGGACAGCGTATTTTTTTGTAGAACCTTTGAGAAGCTTTTTGTTTTACGATGTTAGGATGTTGTTTTTGATGGAATCTGTCAAAAATGTTGTTTTTGTGCCAAAATTCAGCTTTAGCGTTGTTGTAGCATTTATTTAGTCTTGCGCAAAATGCCATCAAAGATATGCCTAATGTAATGGCCGTAGATGTGCAGTCGAAAACTCTGTTCAGCAGTGAAGAGGAAGAAATGTTGCTCCAAATCACTGCCGTTAGTCTGTGTTTATTTGCTTGCTTGGTGGCTATACTCTGTTTTCAGGCCAGCCATCCGACATTTGAAACTTTTCAGGAATTGCTTATGGAAAACCCAGAGGTGTTTCATCATGCTCGAAAGCCTCGGATTTTGATGGAACACTGGAAGCGTTTGAAAGAGTACCATCTGCTGCCGGACCAGAAGCCGCTGCCTCTCGCTCAAGGAAATATTCAGCTATCCTTTTCTGGCAAGTTCGGGTTTCGGTTCTGTACTCGTAGGAATCCATAGCATTTCCATTCATAACCACCCTACCTTCGGTTCTCGTCGTATCTGTATGCAAGATTTTGTGTGGCAAAGGGCGTCCACAGACCACAGATTAAGGAAATGCGCTAACATATTTGGATCAGCTGAAACATGCAGGAATCACATGAATAAGTAGTCGCGAACAGAACGATGGCAGCGCAACAGTAGAATCCATTTGCGGACTGGTTAAGTTGATAAAAAAATTTCTGTGCCTTACCACGGCCCCTCAGTCTGGTGAGCTCCTGCTGATAATTCTCATGAAATTTTATAGGAAAACACAGTTTCCTTCAAAGGAAGCCATCTTTGACCTACAGAATCTCGCACACCTTATAATGTCGCTGTAGTTATTAAATGTTTATGTTTTGGGGAACGCTGGCGAAGGAATGAACACTAACGTCAATTAGTCATGTTTCATGTAGCTGTCGTCATCAATCGGCCTATTTCAGTTTAGTTCATAGTTTTATCTTTAAATTTGTAGCTGGATTCGGTGTTTTTATTTGCTCATTTTCTTTTTGTGATTACGCTATATGCTGAATATCACACTAGTTAATCTACTCTCAGATGGATAAACGTGAAATTCAGTCAAAAGGGGCGCTCGCATCGGCCCACATGGCCGTATACCCCGTACATTCTGATTTGACCACACAAGAATACTGTGCGATCTTTGTTATTCACAAGTCAGCGACTTGTTCCCCTTATCTCAGCTGGTTGCACCGATGCAAAGTGGGGCAAATTTTTTTCAAGGAAATTCGCATTTAAGACGAAGGTTGTCCCTTCTTCAGATTCGAACCTGATACATCTTGTTTTCTAAGCCGATCTCTTTGCACTGTGCCACCTCACCGCACCCAACCGTATTGCATTAATTTGTAGTGAAGAGCTGGATAACGCTAATGTTGTTCACTTCGTACATTCTCTGCTTCACTTAAGATCTACATTTTATACTGCATCTCGAGATCAACTTTCTTCTAGACATGGAAGATAAATATAAGACGCCGGCGGCTCCGTACCACAATGACATCTTGACAGAAAGAGAGGCATTTTTACGCACCAGATCATTACGACGAAAGATTCGTGCTGTCGAAGCTGACGTACAGAAGTGGTCCGCTGTTGTCGAATCCCTCACCGGTAATAAATGCTTTCGATTTCGATAAGTAGTCTTTGTGGTTGCTAGTTAAATAAGGTTCTCTTATGAATGTTTGTTTAAAAAAGTTTGTCGGGCGTCATAATTCATTTTTACAGTAACCAATGGTTAATCATTGACTGTTTCATTAAAAATAGTAAAATGTTTAACGCGAGAATCATATCATTGTTCAACGGAATCTCCAGAGTTTTGTAGAAGCATATTTACCTATTCGGGATAACTCGCAAGAACTGGCTGAATCACCTAGGATGGAGTAATACCGGTAGAATTGATGATAAGGCGCATGTGTGTTTCCGGTTTATGGATCTTAGGTATGCAGTAGAACTCTGGAATAATGAAGCTGCTCCAGACCTTTAACTTGGTTGACATCCATTTGGCCTTTTTAGTTTAAAGTTTTTTAGTGTTTCCCAGATGTTAAGTAAATGCCATCAAGCTGTTAGTTGCGTCAGATCTTCAGATAAGCCAGAGTGTTCTGACTGAAGGGTGAAGTTGCACTTTTCATGAACACTTATTTTTGTTTATCACAACAGCCCTTGTGTTCCCCTTATCTGAGAATCTTCAACTCTTTTAATTCACTCTTCATCTTTCCATGGGCCTCGAGCAATCCTTTCAGTTTCTAATACAAAGCGAAAGACTGTGGGATTACCTGTTGTAGGTAGAAATTTTCGGTGATGACTGCAGTGTTGAAAAGAACAAAGTTCTTTGTACTGATGGCAAAATTAAGCCCGTGTGCAATACAGGAACATTGTTAAATACCTTAACAGAGTCATTCTTGTGATGACCGTAATGGATAGGAGTAGATTGAATTGTGCGTTCATCAAACTTCTTTACCTGTACTTTACCTGTACCTCTTTCTTCTTGGTGTAGTGCGACCCATTTTCTAGTTCAAAAAATTAAGTCATCCTTTACGAAGTGATTCGTTAACTGAAATATATTTCCAAGCTTCTAACCATCTTTATCTGTTATCATTAAAAACGTGTTTATCTTTTTGAATTAGTTGCATTTTGCGTGGTTGGAATTTGTTATTGCCGTTCGCCTTATTGGCTTCGACCCTGCAGTTCCAATTCCACAATCACATCTTCTGCACTCTTTTGCAAAGGTCATTAACTTGTGAAATATGCTTGTGCATCAGTCCTTCAGTTTACCGAAGTCCTGTCGCGTTTTCCTCCAGTTTTTTCATAAAACGTGTGGATTGCAGGTTTCGCATGTCCAATAGTGTTGCTTTCCTGACGTCAAACCAGTCCTACAGTGGTTTACTGTCTATTTAACGAACTGCTTGGATTTACTTAATAGAGGCTTGGTTATATCTGCTCATTTGCCAGTTGCAATCATAAACTACTTGCTGCTCGTTCAATAGCAAAAATTTCTTAGCTGCAGTTGGAAAATTTTCAAGTATCGGGCTGGACTGGCGACTGCTTCCGGCCATGGATTCAGGAGGTTTCGCGTTCGAAGTTTTGTTGAGCATTTCGTAAATCTTTCTTATCAGGTACAAGTTCCTTTTAAAACAGATCATTTCAGTGTATTTCAACGCAGCCGCATGTGCAACAGTGAATAAGCAGTAGATTAATAGCTAAAGATTATCTTAAATTAGATTGAATGAATGATTGATTCTCGCCTTTTTTTACTATAGTGCAATTTGATCTGTTCTACTGCACATTAGTATTGAAGTTTTAACTCAGATATAAGATAGTTTCGAAAGTTTTTATTATCCCTTAGATTTAAGGTTTAAAATATTTTTAGCTTGTTATTGCCGGAATGTTTAATCTGTGCCCTAAACTAAATCCTAAACATAGTTGTGGCCTTGTCATTTAATCATGAAATTTCTGTCGTATATTCAGAAAATACGTTCTTACGTTCTTCTATCCGATCTTGAGTGGATACGCTATCTTGTTATACTTACGTTATGTATTACTTTTCTTCTGTGGATTGTTATTTACGTTTGTCTGATAGTGAAAGTGTTCACGTGACGTGTTTCATGTAAATCCGTAGGAATCGTACATGCTGATTTTGACTCGAATACATTGGCTGTGCTGCGTGGACGCGTTGTTCGTTATCTTGTTCGGTCAAGAGACGTGACCATTGGACGAAACACGAAAGATAGCAAAGTAGATATCGATTTGTCACTAGAAGGTTAGCAAATGACTTGTGCTTTGAACGTTGCTCTGACTTTTCCTGTTATCTAGGTCCTTGTGTTAAAGTTTCACGACGACATGCGAGGATCCGATTGCGTCCTACCGGCTCTTTTTATTTATCTAATGTGGGCTCGAGACCGGTTTACGTGAACGGACAACCGGTTTTAAATGGAGAAGAAAGACATATCAGCCATAACGCAGTGATAGAGGTGTGTGGTGGTTTATGGAATCAGTAGCCTTTTTTTCATATTA